ATAATAACGGGGCACCATCCTGCGAACAGGGACCAATAACCAAACGATAAAACTAAGTCTCATAATTAGTGTTCACTCACAATGTCAATAGTCTGAGTACTATTACACATTCAGAGTGAAAGTGAAGGTTTAAGTTCGAGCGCAGACCACATATACAGCTATTATCACAATACACATGCACAAAGTAATCAGACAGCTGCTCTTTAAAATATAACAGAGTTTATTACGTTCTAATACTAATGATCTAGTCAACTAATATCTAAACTAACAACAACTATACATTTATGAGCACGCTATCTAAAATCAACAGACGATTGAAAAGGGGGGAGTGTATGTGTACGTGTGGTGTGTGTGTGTGCGTAAGGAGGAGGAGCGAGGGAACAGCTCAGCGACGTATGACGTAGTTGGGACGTGGTGACCTCTCTCATGCGCAAGACTCAAAATGGCGGATAGCCAACAGGAGACCCGGCGTCTAGTGCCGGTAGCTGTTTAGCACGTAGCTACATTAGCTCAAAGATATATATATGTGTGTGTGTGTGTGTGGATTAGTAAAAGAGAAGGGAAAGGAACAAAACAAAATGAAATAAAACAAGAGATTAAGATCCTCTGCGCCGCGCGGGAGTACGGAAGATTGATCTCAGCCAGGGAAGCAAGAACCGCGACTCTTTGTCTCAGCCGGCGGTTCTGACCTCCTGAACTGATGAGAAGCAACTTCAACCTCACTTGGCGGCTAGCTCAACACAGATCACGGTAGCATGAAATACACTAGCATCTCGGCAACCGTTAGTGTCGGCGATTATTAAGCATACACCCCGTTATAAAAATGAACAGTACTTTAAGCACACAAACAAGATAAAATAAACACAAATTAACTCTCTCTAACTCTGCCCAGACTCTATTTCGCCTTACGGTACAATGCAATCGTGGTGATTGAGGGGGGTTCTTCTGAGGGGTTCTTCTGAGCTTCGTTGGGCCCAGGCTCTCGGTAGGAGAGAATCGCTGTCGTCTGGATAAGGGATTTTTGCGTCCTTATGTCCGGAGCAAACGAGGCACTTGGTGGAGAGTGGAAGTTCTCTCTCTCTCTTTCTGAAGAAGTCTTGCTTCTTCACTTCTGCAGGAATAAAAGGGTTCGCTTCGTGGATACGAACAAAGATAAAATAGACAGTTTGGTGAATTCGGCCAGCGAATATAAACTGTTAGACCTAGGATTTGGTTGAAAAGGGAAACAATGTTGGTGTGCTCCCTAGCTCGACGGAGGTCGAAGGGAAAAAGCATTGAGGTGGGGGTTGCTGGTAGTTTCGTAGAACGGTGGCTGAACCACAGGGGTCCTGGGGTGTCTTGGCTCTCGGCCAATTAGATTGCAGCGCTGCTTTCAGGTAACTTCAGGAACACAGTTTTTTTGGGGGGAGGAAACTCACACCCTAATGTGAATTTCTTCAGAGTTGGGGTTTGGTGCTCAAACTACAATCAGGATGAAACCTTTGCTTGCAAAAGGGAAAGCCTGACTCTCTTTGTTCCACAGCACATGTCGAAGCCATATAGTCAGATCCCAACACATTTGTTGTTGACCCATGCATCCACCCCCCCATCTCCTCCCTCTGTGGCTCTATAATAACATCACCTGACAAACAAAAGTCATAATTCGTTCAACCGATGGTTTTGTCGGATGAAAGTAAATGTTGTTTTTGCAAAATTTGCTGAAATGACGGATGTTTTTCCTCGGAGGACAGTCTCTTACTGGGAGGCTGGGCTTTGGCCATTTACCACAGGCAGTGGTTTGTTTGTAGCCAGTTTAATCCATTGTTATGTTAAGTTTCACCAGTAGTAGCTGGCTGAATCGTAGCAGCTATAGCGTGTACAGTTGCTATGGTAACCTGCGGTCTAGTATGCCATGCCTACTGTACAGAAGGCGCACTGATTTGAAATGCTGGTTTGACTATTGAGGTGTTCGGTTATAGCCTGGTAATCAGGTTGAATGGCCATTTCATTGCAATTCAATGCAAAGTACTTTGTCCGTCCCACAAGACAAGTAAATGTCTTTACTTTACAATTCAATGCAAGCAAGCCGCAAACAGAATCTATTTACACACTCATTTACACACACAATTCAGGGAAGTCCTATTACACAACTTTAACGGAAATTATAAATTTCCACTTTACTTTTGTGTGGTTTAAACTACACAGGAGTCCCAACATGTACAAACGAAACAAAACATTTCATCGTAAAAAAAAGTTTTTGTAAATACAGCTTTAAACGTACGATGAGTACAAAACAACTATGCATAGACTCATGCAAAAATAATCCCGCTCAATCGTCCCATTCGAAGTTTGTTCCAGTGTCTGTATCTGCAGAGACCCTATACTCTGCCTGACTTTTATTATTTTGCCTATTCGGGATGTTTCTGCAAGTCAACCTCCATAAAAATGTAGCAAACAGGTGCCGGATTGTAAGCACGCATTCAAGAGGAAGCAACAAAAATGGCATAGAACTGAAAAAAAGCAAAAATATGGGGGCAAATCGTCGAGGAAGGCCCAACTTGGAATGTCATGTTTACAAACCACAACTGGCAAATCTTGCCATTTAACAACTGATTCTACTTGCCAACTTTGATGTCAATGTATGGTAGTTAACAAATCATAATTTACAACATAAGTAACAATAGGTATGAGGATAAATACGTAAAAAATAAAGATACCAAGATGCATGAGCTGACTGAAATCTGGTCAATGCTTGTAATTCATCTTGTTTACTTTAGTTTTACTCAATATTACTTTACATTGGAAAATCATACCTATTAGTGACTCTTGATACTGTTTTGTACCATTTGACTTTCATCTGGCTGACACGTGACACATGTTTTGGATGTGCTGTACCTTTAACGAGAGTAAGAAGCATTCAGTGCTGAGTCCTCTGCAGTTAACGGTGTGGGTGCATTGGTGCGTGTGTGTGTGTGTGCATTGTCTCACAAGCCCTCCTCGCCCCATTGAACAACAGTGATGAAATGGAGATGAGTTAAAGTGCCAACACAAAGACTGACCAGACCCCTGCGTCGCCACGACAATGAACCCACCAAACTCGAGAAAGTGAGAGCCTCTTGGAGAAAGCGAGAGAAAAGGGCAGAAAACAAGAGGGGGGAGAAATTAAGGAGCCAAACTTGAGAAAAAAAAGAAGCAGAACCATCCTGAGAGCAGGAGGAAGTGGATGGTTGGGCGAAAGGTGGCCGAATGGAGAGCAACCCAGAGAAAATAGCAAGGTAGCTAATCCCTCCAGAGATAAAGCAGCTATATGTAAATGAAAGATGTGAAGTTGGGCCATCTTACTTTGATCTATGAATCAGAGTACCCCTCCCTGCCTCCCCCTCCTCTCCTCCTTCACTCCCACCCTCTTCTCCTTCCTCCTTGTTCCTTGTAAGAAAATCAAGCCTTATTTAGCTTAATCTCACTTAATGGCATCCAGCTCCTCTTTTGTCCTCCCCGATGCAAATAGATTCTCGTCCTTTCACGCGCCACCATTCACATATCCACCCGCCGTAATCCTCTTATTCCGGGGTAGCAATTATTTTGAGTTTTTATCAGCATTATGATTATGATTATTCTCATTATTATTATTCATGCAGGCCACTCTAAGGGCCAGGTTGCAGCTGAGACTATCCTCCCTTCCGCGGGCACCTCTTATTCTTGCCTAGAATGAGGCTGCCCGCTTTCTTCCACAGGGGTGGCGAGTTTGCAGGAGCGAGCCCCCATTCAGCCAAACACATTTTCTGGGCGTTTGAACATATTGTTGAGTGAGTGTAATGAGTAGCACCGAATCACCCGTCCCGGGTCCTCACAACAGAGAAACATCAAGAATTTGAGGATGGAAGGAGAGAGGGGACTAATAATCAAAAGGCCTCCTTTCTGCGGAGGAGTAATTACACGGGTAGGTTTTGATCTTTTGCTTGTTGGGGTGATGAATGGGGGGAAGAGATGAGGACTGTTTCACTATTTTGGGGCGGCGCGGAGGGGTGGAAAGGGCTTTTCAGCACAGCGTCAACGGTGAAGACCCAACGAATGCGACGAGTTCACCCCCATTTCAATAAGTGGATCACTTTTCAAGGTGCTGTGTTAGCAGCCAACATAGTACTGAGCAAATAAATTGAGGGGTCAAAGTATTTTTTTTTATTACTTTATACAAATGAGGGCAACACTTGCCAGACAGTGACAGTGCCAACACTGTCTCCAACTACTTTGCAACCAATTTGCAACAAAAACAATTTTAGGAAGAGTGTGGTGGCACCTGGATTACATTTTTTATCATTATATAATCAGGATATTAACATATATATTATAAGCACATTTGGCAAGTCACAAAATGTTTATACTGAACACCAGTAAAATGTTCTCTGACAAAATATGCCAAGTGCATTCACAGCACATGGCTAAGGTCGAGGTGAACACATGTCGTGTTTATTAATTATTTGATCAAAACCATAATTTGTCACTGACCTTATCCAAAGGACTTCTGTTTGCCTAATCACATGCAGAAGTCTCGTGTCAAAGCATTCATGTAATACATCTTCATTCGAGCATCATTCAATCGATAAAATGTTGCCTATGAGTTTTGCATTAGAACATACTAACATTGGAAAAACAAATTATCTAAGCGTCATGTCTAAGAGACAGGGTTGATGGAGAAGAACATAATTGTAGTTCCTTGGATTCCTCTCTTATATAAAAAGAAATATGTGTGATGTGACGTCACTTTTTGTCTTCATAATTGATTGAGAAAGATCATATATTGCTTAATTACACCAAGCTCGCCAAAGAGCAAGCTGGAGTATTTTCTACAGAGGAAGGAGGAGTCTGCCTGCTGAGAGGAAGGACGTCTGACTTTTTTATAACACAATCCAATCCACTTTAGACAAAACACCAAAAATCTTTCATGTGAAATCAACAAAACTGCTGATTATGAATCCATGTAGGACAGTGCTCATAGTAAGAAAATGAGATTGGCTTTGCACTGCTGTTAAATATTATATTATACTTTTTATTTCACAAGATTTTTTGATTTGGGCCCTATCCAGTTGTGGGCCCCTGAAATTGTGACCATCTTTCAACCAACAACCTACAACACCGCAATCAAACACACCATACACATTACAGCTCACACTTTCAACAAGAATCATCAAAGTAGTCAATTGATTCTCGGATTATAAAACGAGTAATACAATATAATTTATCTCTGAACCAAAAAGGGGATTATTATATTTGCTTCAGAAAGAAATTGGCTTACCAAATACAAAGTAGATCCATTAGGTTTAAAAAGCTCAAAGGGTAATTGTGAGTTATTGCAGTAGAATATTATAAACAAGTTAAAAATGTTAGAAAAATAACAATTCATATAAAAAAAAGATATAACAGTCATCAAGTCTTTTCTTAAACTTCAAACGTGTCACTTTGGGAATCTCGGAGCCGGGGTGGAGTGGCTGAATCTGGGCAGTCTGCAGACTCCGCAGGGGCACAGGGGCCCTCCTGAGGCCCCTGCAGAGCCCCACTGCACAGGAGCTAGCGCGGCCTCCATGGGGCTCGGAGACAGCAGGGGACATTTGGCGGCAGACGACGATGGAGTGGAGGAAGAGGAGGAGGCTGCTGTCGTGAGGAGGGACTCCTGGGTGAGGAGGAGCTGACTGGGGCCAGATATGAGGGGCCACCCTCCGGCGAGCAACAGCCGGGGGACTGGCCCCGCGTTCACCCCCATCCCGACGCTCACATCCCCCAGCAGCCGCCGCATCTCCTGCAGGGACGAACTCAGGAGGAGGATGTAGTTCCTGGCCAGAACCAGGGTGGAGATCTTGGACAGCCTGCGGCCCGGAGGAGTTCTGGGCTGGTGGGACTGGGGGGGGGGAGGCAGATGACGGCGAGGAGGCGTAAGGCACCATGACCTCCCTCAGAGCGTCCATGGCGATGTTCAAGTCCTGCATCCGCTTCCTCTCCCTGCTGTTGATCTTCCTCCTGAGCTCCTGCTGCTCCTCTGCGCTGAGCTCCCTCTGTGGTTTGGTTGGTCTTTGGCCACCCTGGAGGCCGAGCGCGGGCGTGGGGTTTAGGCGGGAGCTCAGGTTAAACCCTGGAGGGCAGTGGGGCAAGTCCTGGATTGACCCAGGGCCACAGAGAGGTAGGGGCTGCTCCTGGGCCCTGATCACCGGGTTCGACAGCACATTCATAGTCTGTTCAGAGGTGTGCTATCTTCAGGGTTGTAGCTCAGTGTACTTCTTAAACAGAAATGTCTTCAGAAAAAGATACAAGGTTGAAAAACAACCCAAAAACAGCCAATGACAAAAAATCCACAAAAAAAAGTGCAAAAAATCCAAACTTCATTCCCTCCACCTGTTGATCTCTCCTCTTTGTGCAGAACACAGCTGCCATCCAGCACAATAAAAAAGTCTTCTAGCGTTTTTTACTTTTGGTTTCAGAGGTTTCTGGCTGCACAAGTGAGTGAATGAGAGCTTTCCTAAAGTGGCAGCTCAGTTTTATCTCATTTCCACAGCTGCGTGTGGTGAGAATGACAGCTCAGACGGTGGAAAAGTGAGCTAAATGCTCCCCTCGCGCACCCCCCCCCCCCCCCCCCCCCCCCCCCCACAACTCAACTCCTCCCAGACTCACGATGTGCTCTTTAGAAACACACATATTTATGCGTGACTTTTATTATGTTAGACACCAATGATAAAGAACAGGTAAGTGGTGACAACACCAGTCAAATTCCATTGAAAATTGGGACAATTTAAGGCAAGATATTAGAAAAACAATTTTTTTGTGTGGATTATTTAGTTAATCCTGTAGTTTGAAGAGAAAGTCATGCACAAGCAACTTTCAAACACACAATTATTCATAAGGAGTTTACCATTAGGTTAGTGATTTGAACTCTTTTGTTTTGAAAGTTTTTATTTTTTTTTGCAATTTTGGATTATTCTACGAGGAGCTTCACCAATAAAACCGGTTTTGTCCAGCTCTGATGGAACATGAGCCAATCAAATTAAAAACTCTGATGAATTAACTAATATTTACTGTGTTTTTATGTGATCAGACAGCAAGCGTAAAGATCCAGTTTTACAGGGTGTACTAGAACTGCTGTATTGTATATTCTCTTTTTATTGCTGCTATCTTTGCCAGGACGGTGATGTAAAAAAGTTTTAATCTCAGTAAAGCTCTGTCCGCGTTAAAGGGAGTTATTGAATATAAAAGTTATTGAATATAAAACACACATACAGTCAAATCCGACAAACAAGCAGAATTCAAACACATCAAATACTGCAAATACAAGAAGCATTTGAATGATCCGAGCAAAATGTTCTGAAATCTTCAAGTAAAATTATACATTTTAAATTTTGTGAAATTTGTAAATTGTAGAACTGCATTTCATAACACTTTTACTAAAGTCAGATGGAACATTTGGATTATCTACAGTTAAAACAAAATCTCATTAAAAGTATGCAAAGAAGCACAGAAGAGGATGATCGACAGGTGGGGCAAAACTTTACCTGGGACGTCCTTTTGTACAATTTTCTATGACCAAATTCCTGCAAAACTAACATCAGTCCCATCAGCCTCAGCTTTACTTTGTGTTCAGTTATAATTAGCAAATGTTAGTATCCTAACACACTAAAATAAGATGATCATTTGTCAAGTCAAAGTTTATTCCAGCCCAATCACAAAGCATGCCTCAAAGGCAGTGGTGGGCCGTCAGGGCCTGCAAGGCCTTCTCTGCTGGCCTAAACAGAATCACAAAGTTATAGCTATTTTATAATTTAATAATTTTTCTACATGTATTCTAATTTATAAAAATATTTTTCCCATTATCTTATTTTCTCATTGCACAGCTACTGTCTTCCTCAGTTGCTCTGCTTCCAGTGCAGCTTGTTTTAAGGAGAGCTTTTATCCAATCAGATTTCACCTCTGTGTCTCTAGGTAATAAGAGAGGCCCAAGCCCTGCAAGTGAATCCCTTTGCAGTTTAAGTAAATGGGGACAATATTGTTGATTTTCATAGTGTTCAACCAATCAGATCTTTAGTTTGACATGTTGGGCGTATTCTTTGACATGTCAGAGCCTGCTAGCTGGCCTAGCCATATGTGATTGGTCAGTGGGCTAGCGTGACATGTTGGGCGGTGACAATCCCAATATCAGCTGCCTCTGTCGAGCGGACATTTTCAGCCCTCAAACGCATTAAAACGTATTCAGGAAATGCAACTGGTGAGGCTCGACTGTCTTCAATGGCGTCGATGAATTGAGAAGGACTTCTTACTGGAACTAAAGCGCACGGATGTACTGAAAAACTGTGAGATTAAACTCTTTGTTAGGGATGGACTTTGTCTTTAAATAGTGAACAGCAGCTTTGGTAAGTTAACTGCAGTAGCTTTAACTGCCATAAATATTATTTATGTCATTATTTAATATGCTTGTTTATATTATATATTATTATTTGTACAACTTGTTTTCATGAATATGGATTTTCGTTTAGTTTTATATGTGATAGGAACAATTGTTACGTCCTATGTTGCGCTGGGGATACATTTAGCCGGTGCACAGCAACAAGAAGACGTGTCAAGCGGCAGCGGTCTATATACTCCGCGCAAAGTGTTAAAGTTAAAGTTAAGTTTTTAAGTGATCTACTTTGAAGATTCATGTGTTTTCAAGTGGACTCATTTTCCCTCTCGGTGTTGACAGACGAATAAATCCGTCAGTAACAAGAACTATGGAGTCGTGTATTTCCTGGAGGGAGTGACAGGAGAGTTACTACTCTGTTAATTTGTCTATCGTGTCGTTTTCATGATATGGGTAATATTGTTCCGTCTGATATGAATAATATTTGAATGGCCCGTGCTCTTGAGTGTGTGGCGGAATGCATGTTTTAGCTGAATTGATTTTGACTCATTGTTCGTTAATGCCGCCGCATCCCGTCATGCGGGTATTCATGTATCTGCACTCATAGTGTATTTGTAGGTGTTGAGCTTCATTTTTACGAGTGCAGGCCCAGGTATAAAATGCATGGCTGGCCACTGCTCAAAGGGCTGTATTGTAAAAAATAGCACTTAGCAACGTTAGCAAAAGCAAAAAAGTATCAAGATAAAGTAGATACAAACCATTACAAACGGAAAAAGACACACATACATACAATATCTAGAAGCACAAGCAAAAAAAAAACTGTAAATTGGACAACCGTAATTTTATATTTTAGACTAAGACTAAGTGAGGTTGAAGGTGATGCGAAAAGATGTTTTGAGTATACTTTTGAATGACTTGCAATTTCAATGGTGGTCTTTCCAAATTTGGTAGGAATTCGGTTTCTACCACCTAATGTAATGTTTTATGTAATTTTGGAATAGTCAGAAACGCCTAGTAGGTATCAGCTAACAACAGCAAGTCAGCATGCTGATGATAACATTTGGACTTAAGCACCGCTGTGCCTAGGAGCCACCAGCGTAGCTGCAAACTCTTGTTAGCACCCGACAACATGAGCAACGCTGCTTTTACTTTTTCTTTGTGTGAAGATAATTAAAAGCGAACACAAGAAAACACAACACTGTGGGCTCAATGGAACGCACCTCTACAGCCATGCAACAACTTTGAAGACATTAAACTCACTAGCACGTTGTTGTGTGGCGGAGGGCAGGTATTAGCGGCATTAGCATGGGTGTTAATCGTGTCAGAGAACAGTTTTGGCAAACAGTGAATGGCTACACCATTGTGTGCTGAGAGTTAATTGATGGTTTCAAGGTGGAGGTCATTGTTTGCTGGGTTCTGAGTGGGCCACGGTAACCAAATTGGCTGGCGGAGAGCTGGGCACGGTTCCAGACAGCCAGACAACTGGGCCAATTGACTCCAACCACAGGTGAAGCTGGCTTGGGGCACCGAGCAAGGCTGGAAACCTCAAATGTGCCATTGATGAGCCACAAAAAAAGACCTCAGCATCCCTCGGTCACACAGGGAGCCTGGCCGTCCTCCTCCTTTGCAACCCCCCCTCCTTCTTGTAAAAGCCCATCTGAGCGGGAGAAAAGGAAGGCAGGGGGAAGGACCGCACCGTCACAAACAGAAAGCAAGTTGTTCACGATGAAAGCAGAAGGAGACGCAGGGGAGGAAGACCCTCTATGTTCCACCCCAGCCGCTCTTCGCTTGTCACTCAACAAGTGAAAGATGTGTGCGGAGGCGCTTCCCCTGCCCCGCCAACGGCGCGGTGGCGTCCGGCTGGTGCTGTGATTGAAGCTGAATGGACGGCTGCAGACGGACAGGAAAGGGAGGGCCCCATGAAAAGAGCCAGGCGGATGACCCTCGCACCTGCAGGAGAACAGAGTGCAGGCAGCCAGGATGAATGTGTGCATGTGTGTGTGCCTGTGAGCTCAATTTGATTTCTAGTGCCTGTCTGACAATGAGGTGTAATAAACTGAGCAATGAAAGAAAACAAGCTTTGGTGGTTTTGGCTGTGTTTTGGGATCTGGTTTGGGTGTAAAGGGGGGGAAAGGACACCTGCAAGGAGCCCCACATGCAGAAGTCAGAAAAGAGGAGAAAGAAAGAAGCTGGTGTCTACCAGAAAACCACACCTCCCCCACTTTTTTTTTATCCCCCACTTACAAGGGAAAAGAAAAGTGAGCTTGATTTGGCGCCGCAGCCCAGCATATCCGCCTCCCAGCTTCCAGGCTCCTTTTGATGAGGCTGGACCAAGGCAGGAGCACCGGTGGCTTCAGGGCAGGGGGAAGACTAGTGTCTTTATGGTGGAAGGAGTACTATCCATCTGGGCAAGGCCCTCCAATGGCGGGTCTGCACCTGGGAGCTAAATGCCTCGTCTGTGTGGAGCCATTTCCTGCGGCTGACAGACAGGAAGACACCTCGGCCAAACTCCTGGGTCAGTCTACTCCCCAATTACGGGATGAAAAATACACCCAAAGTGACACCACTGAAAATAATGGTTATGAATTCTTAGCTTTTTTTTCGGCATTTGTCAAAAGGACTTAACACACTTTTATTTATTCATTCATTAGTTAAGTGTATTTCTTTTACTTCCTGGTATGGTTTCTAGGTGTTGTCAATATAAATAAGGCTTATATATTTTCTTGTGGTTTTTATGTTATTTTAACTGGATAATCCCAGGATTTCTTGAACGGAAAAGATTTAAAAAAAATTTTTAAAACGGAAAAAGAACTTTCATTATATTGTCCCATACATTCACACAGGTTCCTATATGAAATGTACCCGCAGCATTTAACCCATCATTAAAACTTTGGATGGGTCCTAAGCTCTGAAGCTCACAGGGAGCAACTGGGGAATGAAAGCGAAAATTGGGGAAAATGAAAATGAGCTTCCAGTGGCGGACCGTGCATTTTATACCTGGGCCTTCACTGCTGTCCTGCAGCTGAAATACCAACTTATAACCTCATGATGGCGCCACAGCTACGGTTATTATTCGTTTCTAGGGCTGTAACAATATACGTATTCATATTAAACCGTTCGGTACGAGGCTTACAAACCGAACAATACATTTGAATAATACTAG